GTATTTCCGTATGTTAATAGACAGTGAATCTTGTAATTTGTAAATGTAATTTTGTAATTTTATCTTTTATTGTTAATCATTTGTTTATTGTCTTGTAGCTTTGATGACCTTACTGCAGTACTTTCCAAAGTCAATGTTTTGTAAATGACATGTATTGTGAGCCAGATAATCCTGATTTTCACACACCGACTCTTCCGTCAACATATAATATGACCTCGTGTCACATTCGACATAGACCCTACAATATATTATATAGTCTCGGCATTAACTAACACTTGTATGTGAGGGCGCTGCTATATAGATGTGTTATATCACACTTAAGGAATAATTCACGCCACATGATCATGGTTTGGTGAATATTATGAATTATATAGCTATCGCGGGATTAGTTGTATTTTATTTCCAGTGGATTAAGACATAAAATCGTATTACAACTTGTTTTGAGGCACAGACCTAGCATACACAGCTGTTGATACAAATGGTAACTCGAACTCTTGGTTTTATCATTGACATCAAAACAACAAACGTTTTGGTCGATCCTTTTACTGTCACGTGACAAATGTATAAACAATGACTTTCCATGATGTACGAACTTGCCAGTAGACTACATCTCGGCTTTCGTACAATATACGCGGACCGTGCACTCATAACGCATTGATCGAAACACCGCCTTACCCTTGCCCCACAATTTAATGTTGGCCATGACAGTGAAATCATCGAAAGTAAAGCAAGACTAAACGAGGAACGGCAGAAAATACCCATTTCTGAAAATATGCTCGTACAATTTACCATGGCGATGAGTGGTCTAACTAGTATTGCTGTTGCCGTTGACTGGGACTGATATAATCAGTGGAATCTTTACATATGGACATACATATTCAATTAAAATGTAACCTAGAAGGCATGTATCTCATACGTCGATATTCTATATTTAAAAAAAGGAAAAAAAAACACTAATGGACACATTACACTTTTCAACAGCTGTTCCATGATCTTTTCCTTAAATTACCTATCTAAAGACATTACGTATACAGATCAAAATGTCTTGATGGATTGTTTATGCGTCTCGGGCTGAATTACACAGCTCAATCCTTTCAAAGCTTCGTTATCGTTTTGATCTGTACGTCAACGAACAAAGATTATGTTTCCGAGAGATATTACTATAATCTAAATGACGATCGACTACACGACCAAACACAGTTATCGGTTTAAACGATAGTGCCTTCACCCTAATACGTCATTTGATGTCACAAACACGCTGTGTTACTAAAGGGTTCGATGCATAGGGATTGTGTATAATTATGTAAATTAGCTAATTAAGATGTAACGTACGTCATAATCATTTGTTCTAATATCACTGGATAAGAATGACACACATTTCTGTGCGCTGAAAACGTGAGCTTGGGAGAATTTGAAATGACGTCTCAAATATTTGAGTTTTTGTCACACGCATTTTAGCCGACATGAATTGTGATGAATAATTCTAATATGGCTAAAATATTGAGATAATGGCGTATTTTAATGTGGAAAACCATCATGTTAATAGTCTAATCTGATTTATTACACTGAACTGACATAATATAAGATATAAACATGTCTTTGTTCAAACTCAGATTACTTCTCTGTGTGCCTTTAAAACTTAATCATCAAATGATTATAAAACAAATCGTAGGTTCCTAATCACTTGCAGTAAATTCGTTATACAGTTTTACAAAGGTTAGAAAGGTCAAATATGCCGTTATGTGAAGTTGGGTACGACTGTTAGTGTAGCAATTCCTATCGCCTTCTGGTTACATTGCACCGGGCGAAAATTGCAGTTGCAGTTTCTATTGCACCACCATCAACGTGTAATAAATGCAATGTAATTAATGTGTAATGAAAAACCCTAGGTCAAAATAACACAAGCTAAAACTATTTATATGCTTGTTATGGTTCAAACTTCCATTTAATATCCGGTTCAACATGGTAAATTACACAAGCACATTTTGTTTCGTATATACATGTATAATACTACCACTATACTTATTAACGAATTTAAACCCAAAAAACATTATTACATACTATTGTGGAGTAATCTGAAAGACTGCACGAGGAACTAACTACGATCTATTGTACCCCTGTTGGCATTTACCAGTTTTATATCATGCAAAATTGAGAGTTGTCATGTAATCTGGGGGGATGGACTGAAAACTAGCCAGGACCTCTTTACGGTATCACGCTATATGACCATATATGGTCATTTGATATATTTGTATCTTAAATGTTTTTCTTGTTCGATGCCTTTAATATAGCAATGTCTTGTCTGTTCTTTGTCCCAGGGCAACCGTGCGCCAAGATTCATTGAAATCCGACTATAGGAACTTAAAATTATGGTGACAGACGTACAAACACACATACAGGCTAATCCCAAAGACTCTTTTTTGAGTTTAAAAAAGAGGGGGGCATTAACATCAGAGAAGGCAATAATACAAGTTAGTATTGCCCCCAGAATGCGATAGGAGCTAGGTGTTACTGCAATAAAACTATTATTATACATCTGCCACCGAACGCCATAGGTTATAGCTTGTCGTAATTGTGCGGTATTGTACCATATTAGGAAATATAATAATAATAACAATGACCGGACCTTACATAAAGAAGTTCGCTAAGTTTGTTATAAACTTTTTAGATTTCGGCATTCTAATGATGTATCGTTGGGAGAACACTGGGTCTAACGAATGCCCACTCTAAAAGGAGAAGCATTGATATAAAAAAACTTTCTGAACAAATTAGTGTCACATTGCGAAGCAGTTGTATTATTGTCATTATAATAAATATTGTAATGTACTTCTGTGCGTGCCAAACACAACTAACCTAGGGAGTTCGTAGTGACGTGAGTAAAATAGTCCTTCTATAAATGCACAAGGGAAGATCCTAACGGCTATACAGAAAACAGTGTAAGAGTCTGATATGAATTTTAGATCAACCTTAATAGGAAATGTTTCATATAGAATATTGATTTTGTAATATTGTTCATGTTCTTCCTTCATCGTTGAATAAATATCCCGCAAGCGATTTAGTGACTTTATGATCCCTAGATACTGACAACTACGTGGATAGCTTGCGATACTGTTCGCATGTCAAAGGCTGCAAACCAAAATATGACGATCGAAAAAGTTGATCCCGTCTGTCATTCCTTACCTATGCTGAGAGCATTAAATAACCCGGGTGTCTTCTTTGAATGAGATCAACGGATGGGTGTATCCACACGAAAATCTTTGTAAAGACGAAAGTTTATTCCATTTCTACTGTAAGCGGGCGCATGGGATAGGGTCCTTATACTTTCCGTTTTTTATCAATGCGCACCTGACACAATGTAGAAAACACGCTTAAAGATATGTTATATAGATTTACATCATCTCACGCTGAACGTTCTCACCCGAAAACTTTGTATAAAGAGTAAATCAGAGTAAATTTAATTTTCTAGTTTATTCAGTTATTTTGTTCATTATATTTATCTGACAAATCAGTTTGGGATTACTTTATTATTTTTGTTTCTCTCTCAAAAAAAGGAATCGCCGTTGTACAGCGACACGACTACTTACTCGTGCTTACATATAAATTTTTGTACATATATTAAATGCAAAGGTTACCTGGCTACAATTCCACGATATTCAATCAAGTGAACAATACACGTCACAATAAACGTCATTTTTGTAAAATACAACTTTTAAGAGCCAACATTGAATTCTCAATCTTGTTATTGAACTAGGTCTACAAATAATCGCTTCTTTGTCCCACCGTGTTTCTTTCCCCCCGCCCGTCTTTATTCTCTTCATTCGTTTGACGGAAGAGGGAATAAAGTTCGTTCATCATCTTCGCTGTCAGGCTGTTTTGCTAACAACAAATCTTGCCTTAATTAAACGTCACTGCTATTTAACAATATGTGGTATAACTTACAATACAAAGAAAGCAATAAATAGCTAGACGCAATGTAAATGTTACAAATAAAGAACAAATGGAATAAAAGAGCCATTAAAAATACCGACTAGATTGTTCAATTACTGGACTCACACGAAATATCAATAAACGATATTGAGAACTGCACTATACTGTGCACTTGTTATAACTACAACATGTTCAATATTTCAAACCACGCCAGCACTGTTCAGGGTGGTTCGTAAAATAAAATGGTATGATTTGGCAGCCTTCATACCCCGGCAGACTCGGTGATCTTAGAACAAGCTAGTTTCTCTATTTTACCCACCGGTTTCCTATCTTTATAACATAGGTTTCGTTATTCGTATATAATACGCCTTATGACAACGGCACTTCTATTCATACGAATTATATTTTGCAATTTCATAATTTGTGGCCCTTACATCTGTATCGCATTTTTACTATGAAACATTGAAGCGCGGGAGTCGTCACCTGCGCATGCGTCAGATGGCCATAGCGTGTCATTGTTTATAAACAAGCATCTAGCCATGAACCTTTGCGTTTTTAGAGTGTGTTGTTATCGTCGTTTGGAACTCAATTCCCACGCGTGCGCAGGTGACGACCCTTCCGCTTTAACTTACTAGTATTCCAGCATCGGGACAGTAACGGGATGTCGTTTTTAAGGACACATGTCTAACCAATAAGATGAATGAAACTGATGTTTCTATAGCCAAGTGCGAACACTCTAAATTGAGGAAGTATCACATGATTTCCCAATCTCAAATTCCAGCTATCCAGGATATTATTTGAACCTTCGTATTGTGTTTGGGTGTTGGCTTCCGGAATTTCCCTTATTCATTCATTAATGTCAGACCATTGATGAATATAATCATAGTCGGGGATTCAAGAGTAAAATATTGGCAGTTAAATGAGTGAAATACATGTGAGATTTATTGAAATAATTAACAAAAGAGAATACATATTATTAATTATGTTCAACAGAAGGTGTTCATTATAACTGTCATGTTGATATCAGACGAACGTTCAATCATTGTCCTTTATTTGTTCTCATTACAAAACACTTAGACAGGGGTTAATGATTCCTGCCCTTTGCAGCAATCTGGGCTGACCGGTGGAATTATATTGCGGCGATCATAGTCATAGTCAGGCTGTTGCCAAGCAAAGGTCAATCTCGGCGACGTTGCACTAGAAGGTTTGTTGGTTACACTGACTCTCGGACTTCCGGATGACGATAGCTCTAAATAAGCCGGCTGCACTTCGACATAACTTCCACATTTGGTATCCGACAAACTGTAAGTATTTGCTTTGCTCAGAGAATCTCGATCAGCATATGACATTACGGAGACATTGGGCCTATTCCCGTAACCTTGTTCAGCGGATATCATGGCGATACTTGATCGATTCCCGTCATCAGCCATCGTAACATGTCTACGCCGTGACATATGGGAGAAATGCGACCTTTGACAACAGAGTACGGAGCAAAATACCTTCCTGTACGTCTCATTTATAAGCCCATAAACTAGCGGGTTTACGCCAGTCAGTAAGTACAACATGAACAAAAGAAGTTTTTCAAGGTGCTTGTTAAAACGAGTGTTATATGAAGCTTCCACAAACATACTCAGGGCGACTGGCATCCAGAGCACAGCGTATACACTGAATACCAGAACCAACATGCGGGTTAATTTACCTTGTTCCGGTCGTTCCGCCGTCTGAGACCCGATTAATGTAACGCGCGATGTTATGGACGCCATAGAAGTCGAGGATAATCGTCGCGTATCGGAAACACGGGGGAGAGCTAACCGCGGGTTAAAACTGGAATCTGATAACCTAGGAAGTAGTTCGGACATGCGCTTCCCTGCGCGAGATTCACGCATGTTAGACATGTGCGGGCTGCCGGCTCCTTCTGCAATCACCAACGCCGACGTCTGTATTAGCGCCTTCGCCGTGTTTTTTATTCTACGCGAATTTTGACGAACTGCAAGGAATATGTTCCAATAGCAGTACACCATGAGCAAAAAAGGCACTATTGTGGAAACAGTTACGAAGAAGATGGTATTAGAAGGGCTTGTATCGGGCCCGATGAAACACAAATTTCTCCCCGTATCGTACGTGTACTCCCCCCATCCCAGAAGAGGCAATACAGCTGTTGCGATGGCAACCGTCCACAAGAAGTAAATTGCTTTTTTCGCACGCCGTTTAGAGAATCGAACTGCGTATGTCTGGGCGTGAACGATCATATAATATCGATTAACAGAGATAAACAATAAAGTCCAGAGCATTCCGCAGATGCAGCTGGATATGAGAAACCCGGTGAAATGGCAGAGTCTAGTCCCTAATATCCAGTCATCTGCGGCAATCGCGATGGTGATAAACGGCACTGATATAACACACAACAATAGGTCGGACACTGTGAGGTTCAACACGAGAAGATTCGTTACCGTTCGGAGCTTTGGCTTCTTTAATAAGATTATCAGCACCATGCAGTTGGTTGTCATGGATACACCGGTGATGATCCATAGTAGTGGGATCTCAAGCCAGGCTAGTGAGTAACTACTGTCTGGGTGGGGCAATTGGAACGTTGTTACGTTACCCTGTGTATTGTTAATATCCGTATGCGGTACGTCTGGCATTTTGTTATACGCACATACGCACACCTCTAACGAGAATTAATCACCATTCGGCTCCCACGAATTTGTCACACACGTCGATAGCACTCGTACGACCCGCTGTGGGTGGCCAATATAATGGAAGGAGCGTTCGACGATAACTACCAAATCATACAGGAAAAACTATCCATCATTCATTGATATCCTCTTCTCTTCGTCGAAACTCGCAAATGATCAGACGCGAATTCCAGCGACATGCAGACTGCCGGCAGTGCGCTCAATATGAGCACAATACCCGTAGACTTTTCGCAATAGTTAATTCCATGTGTATCGCCCACGAGTTTGAGCTGCCTAGCTTTGATCCATGCCGTGGCTAGCTGTTAATATTTAAAGCCATCGGGAATCTGAAATGGAGAAGAAAAAATATCTCTACTGAATTATGAAACGATATTGAAAGATGTACAATTGTATATCGAGTTGCTCTATGAGATAATATAACACGTGTAACTGCCAAACTGGCGGTAACGCATATTTTAAGACGTGCTTACAAGACACGGAAAAGCGAAATCGCAGATGGTGAATTGTAGGTTTCTTACAACATATTTCGAAAAATTTAGAGTCTAACACACGATTTGTTTCAGTAATGTTCAAATAAAGACAATTGTGTGTGTATGAATTCAAATTCGTTACGGGTAGCTGCATAATAATAGACCGTTTACGCAATCATGCCTGTACAATACGAGACAACATTAATAAATAAATAAATAAATAAATAAATAAATAAATAAATAAATAAATAAATAAATAAATAAATAAATAAATAAATAAATCGCGCTAGTGATGATTTGAATAATATCTCAGCGTTGATTGTGCAATCAGTTTTGCAACTAGTCAACAATTGAATGCATTTCCTGTTTCTGATTGCAAGCTTCTGGCTATTCTAATAGTGTATCGCCATCTGTCACATAAACGTTCTTTTCAGAAAAAAAAAATCCTAAACAGAATAACAAAACAAAGCACACAGATATTTTTGTTAAATTTAATAATCACCATTTATTACAGCTTGTGTGTTATATATGAAAATCATGCCCGATTATCACATATAATAAACTACGTCATATTGTTCCATACGTAATACGAAAACCTATTGTTAG